GCTCACTGAAAAAGAAAGTTAAGTGCCACCAGTGCAACAAGTGAGTCTATAGCCCTCAGATGGACTTATTTGCAAAAAGCAGTTTCAGTGAAAGTTTACTCACACTTTCCTGTCATTCAGAAGCATCCCATTCATTGTTTCAATGGCCCGATTTGCAGCCTCCTGAGTCTCAAAGTGAACAAAGCCATAGCCTTTTGATCCCTTCTCATCACAGACAACCTACAAAAATCCAGATAGTTTGAGTCATGCTAACAAAAGAAAATTTATACAACAATTTTCAAAGAAAAAAAAAAAAAAAGGCCTACCTTGCAGGATAAAATATTGCCAAAGGCAGAGAAGGTATCATACAGCGCCTTGTTGTCAATGGACTCATCCATGTTCTTGATAAAGATGTTTCCCACACCGGACTTCCTGAGACCTGGGTCACGCTGAGACCACATTATCCGAATGGGTCGACCCTTAATGACGTCATAGTTCATCGTATCTAAGGCACACTCCGCTAAAAATAATTTTAAAAAAATTAAAACATGAAGGAAGAAGCATCAAAAATAAGCCACAACTACACATCAAATGCAATACTGTACTCTCTAGCAAAGGTTTTCTAATCTACAGTCTGTCTTTGCTCAGTTTAACAAAATAATTAAGGGCATCCATGTATTAAAGCATAAAAACAAGATTTCTGATGAATATTCATATTTTCTTTAAGTTATTATACATCCAGGGGATTTTGAATCAACATCCAGCTGTGTTTATTCACATTTCTGTAGATATGGATTAGCAAGTCCATCACCCTGCAACTTTTAGATGCATCATTTCTTAAATGAATGCCTCATTATCATGCCTATGCAGCACTGATGATATGCTGATGAAGGAATTTGGCTATAAATAGCTAAAGCAGGTAAATCTCATAAAATACAGAAACAGCAATATGAAAAATAGTATAAATATAACTTCTTTGCTAAAATATTTAATTGTGCCACTGTTTTGCAACAATAAAGGTGGATGTACCGTCAGCTGGCTGCTGGAAGTTTATATAGGCGTATCCTAGGGATCTGCGGGTGATGATGTCCCGGCACACGCGGATCGACATGATGGGTCCAGCAGGAGAAAACTTCTGATACAGCATGGCTTCTGTAACATCAGGGTGCAGGTCCCCGACATACAAAGAGGCCAGAGGATACGCTGGACCACTGCCATTCATGTTGCGTACCAGCTGGATGAAAAATTAGTAGGGGGTTATAGAGAGTAGAACGCATTGCTAGTTTACTTTAGGGAAACTATTGCATGTTTTACTTCTACTTCAGTATTTCGTAACCTTACACTCAGTGACATTTTCACACCTGCCATTTCTAAATTAGGTTTGTTCAAACATTTGAGTGGTTCCAAATAGAGATTATCTTAGCAAAAGGAAAACTAATTTCATCTAATGTAAATTATGAAAACTGGGAGTTGTGCTTCGCTTAGAAGACAAATATAGTACAGGTGGACCTCAAGCTGGAGCGTCTCCATAAATGTCAATTTTGGTCATTTGAAACAATAAGAGATGCTCACACTGAAGATGCATTCATCATTACATTTCACACATTTATTTCTGCTAATTTGGGCCATTAAGGAAGAGCTGCAGTCTTGACAGGAATGTGAAGAAAACCTTATTTAACTTTTTTAAGTAGAAGCACTTAAAAAGTTAAATAAGGTGAACACCTTGATTAGTCAGTGCTTCGGGAGGAAACATCTCACAGATGTGTTCAGGACGTGGGGAACAACTGTTATATTTCTTATATTAAGCCACTCCTAAATCTCAAGATGTCAGAGGGGGGAAAAAGGATGTGAATGTTGCTCGGTTGTCTAAAGTCTGCTTTTGAGATAAAAATAAGTTTTGCATTGCACTTGGAAGTTAAGGCCCAGGAAACTAGAGGAAGAGCAAAAAAGCACAGAACCCAAGTTTTGCTTAAACTTGTCTAGTTTAAAAAGTTTCCACACTGAGTGGAAACTTTAAACAAGCATGTTTAGTTTAAAGTCTGTGTGAAGACTTTAAACATGACACTGGTTTATGCAGCAACAGTGGCTGCTTGTGTGAAGCCACTGTTTTTTCTAAAGTCCAAACTCGGCAAAGATTTCTACCACAAGATCTTACATCACCTCATACTTTCCATCGAAGATTACCTTTATGGAGATGCTAGACGTGGCATCTGCACACACTGTCAAACACACCAATATCAGGTTTATTAAATATATCACTGTAGTTGATTAATAAGCAAAATGGTCTTACCCAATAACTCATAGTTTACTTAATTGTTTTTGTTTAATGAATGAGATATTTCTAAAACTTATATTACCACAATGTGTAGATGTTTTAATTTGCTACATTTTTAAAATATAGAACTAATACATATTTTAAAACAATGAGACAAATTTCCGACCATACCATCCACTGAAAACATGTCAGAGCAGCAACTTTAAGAACATGCCTTGAATAGCATAATATTATTATGGATTAAGACAAATATTATGCCAATTCAGAATACAGACTGTTTTTCATCTAGTAGTGGATATTTCATACCAACCATGTATTCATTCTAGGGATGCACCAGTAAATTAGCCCCAATTTTCTTAATTTTGGTAGATTGGTGGATACATGTAAAGACAATCTTATCAACCACTGTCCTTTTTTGCTCTGCTGTGAGAGAGGTTTGTCTGACAGACCTACTCACCAGTTCATGTCTGCACGTTTGACAATGGTCACCCCACTGTTGCCAGCTCAGTTAATTTCTTGCTATATTTAGCAACATTTCAAACACTAAAAATTTAGGAATTGGCGGCCAGGCTTCTTAAAAATCAATAGACCAAAAAACTGCAATCGGTGCACCTACAGCGACCGATCTCCTCCTGAATCCATTCTGCTGCATTGATGTAGTAATTCATGCAGGACCAGATAGTTAGTGCATATAGCAGCACAGACACATCCTTTCAAAGAGCCAACATTTCGGTATTGATATCCTTTGTTCAATTTGGCTTATGATTCCTAAATATAAAGTTTTTATTGTGAGCCTTAATCAAAATAAAACTATGTCTCTGTGTTAAGTGGAAGCTTAAAACAGAGTAATCTAGATCTATAAACTTTTTTTTTTTTTTACTGAATTGCTGGAACAAATTAACTTGACTATATTCTCACTTATGTAGACACCTCGGTATAAATTAAATCTAAAGCGAATTCACAAAGATTTGTTGAATGGAGCCTTTTTTCCCCACTCAAAATTAGAAACGTTTTGGTAACATTAGGAGGATTTCACATTAAAACGTAGAGCGCTAAAGAAGCAATCTGATACTCCGTAGTAGTTAAACAGTGGAAAGAAGATTTCCAGCTTAAATGTTGATAAAACTATTCTCTTAACATAAAAACGGGGAAGAAAAGACATTTAAAAATTTTATGATGTAGCTAACGGTACAAGCAACAATCATAGAAAAAACATTAAGCTAAAACAGTCGTTAGCTAAATTTCGTTACCCCGCGTGCGCATCACGCACTGAAAGAAACTAGCAAGGTTCTACAAATAAATACAGCTTAACGTTACAAACTAGATAAACTTACATTTAAAACGAGGATGTCTTTTTATTCAGCGCAGCAGTTTGTGAACACTTTCCACGTGAACCTCAGCTTGTTTTGATTTAATTAGCATCTCCGAACACCTGCACGCTTGCTCCGCGCAATGTAATTTCAATTAAGACGTGAGAAGGCACCGACAGAAAGGACGTCACATTCCGCGATAAAAACTAGATCTTAGCTTAGTAATAAAAATACATGCAGTTGAACGAGTCCATATATTTAAAGCCACGTTTGATACATTTAAAAAAATTAACAGGACTTTGTGAACAGAAATAAAGACGTAATTTGCCTCTTATCTTAAACGAAACTTTATTTCACTGAATGGTCTTTGACACTTTCCTATTTCTTACATGTATAGTGAAACTAGAATGGTTTTAAGATACATAAACACAAAGCTAGAATTACACCAACCATTGTTTATCTCCATTTCATCACTGCTTTTTTAATAGCTATTCTAAATTTTCACAACCACGTGTGTGCACTGGGTAATAGACTGTTACAGAAGCAAATTTTAGCCATAAGACTTGTCAGTAAAAACAAAGCAAGTAAATACCTGATATACAGACAGGCTTCGTTCCACATTCACTAACTGCATTTTCATCAAGCAAAATAATGAACTGACATAATTTTTTTATTTTTTTTTTCCCCCCAACAAAAGATTTCAATTTATTGGAGCATTGTCAGAGTAAACAGACCGCCAGCTATAACGTGGAATGGTGTCTTCAACTACAGTAATGTGGAATGTAGTGGTGATACATGGTATTGTGACACTGAGCTTCTTTTCACCTTCTAAAACCTGATTTTTAGAGGCAATTATTCCCACCAGCTATCTTTAACAGCCGAGAGATTCACCTGGGTAAAAACTGAGGTCAGGGTTTATATTTTTGTGGTCTAACTCGTTCTATGAGATTTTAAACAAGCAGATGCTGCTACCTTAAAAGGAAAAAAAATGCAGGAGGCTGCAAGAGAAAGCCAGGCACAAAAGCTTTTTTGGAGAAAACAACCGCTTTAAGAGGAATATTTTGCAAGCAGGGTTGATACAGTGTGGCAAGACATTTTCAATTAACATCAATAAAAGGTTACTTTAGGTTTTACATACAGATGATAGTCAATCTTGCAAAATACATGGAACCACATTTACGCATACAATTTTCATTGTACTGAGATCAAGCAGCACCAGAACAGTGAGAAAACTACAATGACAATCTATACTTAGTTCAAAAAACAATAAGGAGCACTGCTGTTTTCAAGATGCCTAATAATGTGGAATGTCTTATGTCTGAACAAACCTATTATGACAATTTACGGGGTCCCTTAGAACTTGAAAACTGAATTTGTGAACATGATCAAGGAATATTACACCAAGATGTCAGTGTCACAATACAGCCTGCCTCCTTTCTGTATGAGCCCACAGCAGAATTGCAGTTAACTGAATATAGGATCGTACGTGTCTGGAACAAAAACAAAAGAAAAATAAAAAAAATAAAAAAAATATTTTGACGGTTGTGAAGCAAATGGAAAGCCTACCATCACAGTGTTTGGTGGAAATCAACTGCCAGTTTAATTACCATACAATAAAACCTGTAAATATCATGAGGAATCACAAATAAGAAAAGTAACAAAAAAAAAAAGGGATGAAAAATGCACACCAAACTAGCTGGGACAAAGGAAGTTGGAAGGACGATTCGAATTCACAACACCCCCCTCCCCCCCAGAAACACACACGCGCGCAATCATTTCACACTCGCTCGCACTTTCACGCTCACTACATACAGACCTACACACGAAGCTGACAAAAACAACAGCAACATGGACTCACTAATCAATACAACATGTTTCCACAAAGTGACTGAATCTGCTAACAACTGAAAATTACCCTGTCACCTCACAGTGAACTGAGAGGGGTAAACTAGTTGGTCAGGAGCAATTCAGGCTGCTTGTCATACAGAAGTGGGAGGGGCTGATGGAGTGGAGGGGGGGATGTATATAAGCTGTCTGTGTTTAAGATAAGAGTGTAGGTGGATTAACAGTGCAATTCCATTAGTTTTCCCCATCTCCGGTCTCTCCCTCATCTGCCTGGTTTTCTGATGTCCACAGCTGAGGAAAGAAAGCAAGAGAAAAGTTATAGTAATATTTGTCAGGAAAGACATCAAGATCACACAGGATATCCCAAATATGGAACTCACAGTCAGGTTGTCCCTTAGTAGTTGCATGATCAGGGTGCTGTCTTTGTAAGAGTCCTCGTTCAAAGTGTCGAGTTCAGCAATTGCTTCATCAAATGCCTGATAGAACAAAAAAATTAAAAAATCCACAAAAACAAAACTTAGACTTCCACAAATAGCTGGTCTAAATTCCTCTGATTTATATACCATCTCCAAAATGTAAAATTTAAAACTGATCGTCAATCAGTTTGCCATAGTCTTACATAAAATAAAAGACTAGAAGTAGATTGTTATTAGGGTTTGGCACATACCGTCTTAGCCAGGCTACAGGCCTTGTCCGGGTTGTTGAGGATTTCATAATAGAAGACTGAGAAGTTGAGGGCCAGGCCAAGCCTAATGGGGTGTGTTGGCTGCATCTCCCCCTTGCTAATGTCAAAAGCTTGCTGGTACGCCTGCTGGGAGTTATCCACTGTATCTGTATTAGCAGAAAAAAAAATGAAATTGTCGATTATTCACAAACTTTTAAAGTAGACCTGAGAGCAGCAAAAAAAAGCAAAGAAACTAATATGCTGTCTAAGCACAATACTTTAAAAAGTTTACATAAAAAACATCTCAAACGCTAATGTAGTATGCAACTCAAGTTATGAGACGTTTTGTGTTTTCCTTTGATTTCTGTTAAGGAAATATTACCAAAGTAAAAAAGTGACTGAATTTTGAAGCAGAAAAGATTCTGTTAAAAGAAATGTTCCAGTTTGACAAAAAATGCAATTGTTTTGTTGAAACAGACTTTTGAGAATCAGGATTTTCATGAGTGTTTTAATCATCTTTCAAATCCCTATTTTTCAAGTCAGGTTAAACATTCTTACACATAGCAATGTTGAAATAATATAATTACCCTTCTTAGACTCCCCAGATGCAACCTCAGAAAGGTATCTATAATAGTCGCCTTTCATCTTCAGGTAGAACACCTTGCTCTCAGCAGCAGATGCGTTGGCAATGAGATAGTTGTCCAGTAGCCCCTGAAAACAATACATGAGATAACCAGTTTAGAAACATCCCCTTGAACACAAGAAAGGGCACAGTTCTCACAATTAAACGCTTACAAGCACATCATGGCAGATTTCTTGCAGTTCAGCTTCTATCTTCTCCCGGTATTCACGTGCCATCTGCTGTTTTTTGTCATTGCCCTCAGTCTTCTGCTCGATGCTGGAAATTACACGCCAGGACGAACGACGTGCCCCAACCACATTCTTGTAGGCCACAGAGAGAAGGTTACGCTCCTCATTCGACAGCTCTGCGCCTTGCTCTGTCACTGACTTCATGGCTGCAGCCATGTCATCGTAGCGCTCAGCCTGCTCAGCAAGCTTGGCCTTCTGTACCAGGTCGTTCTTATCCATTTTCTAGACTGGAAAAAAAGAAGAGGTAATGTCAAGAGCTAGATATGGGAACAGTACACATGGGTAATCATATTTTAAGGTGGACAGTTCACATTTCTATGGAATAATTATAACTTTCTGTTGAAATTAAAACAATTTGCTAACTCTATAATTGTAGAAATCATTATGTTATACAGAAATGATGTATAAGTTTGAACTGGGCCCCCTGGCAACTGGGTCAGCCATACACATCACTAGCTAAGGTTTAGCTGTTAGCTCGTTCGTAGCGCTCCCCAAACTTGACTCTTCTCTTACATCCCTAACCTGATGTCTGCTCACTCGTCAACATGCACAAGTGTAAGGTGCTTATATTTAACACTCGTGACTGTTTTATTGGGCCAATATATTTCAAATTAATCCCCCAATCTACAAAACCAACCGAAGCTTTCCCGAGTCAGCCTTTAATGCCCTCCCCTGAGGTTGCTAGTAGCGCTAGCGGGCTGCCGTATTTAATGGCCCAATATTAACACTATTTTGACAAATACGCCAGAAGTGGTTTAAGTTTTCTATTAGATTACATTTAAGGGTGTGTCCTTAATTGACTAGAGAACGCGCAGAGAGCTAATCTGTCGTGATAACGCAAAGCGAATGGAGAAGCTAACAGTTGGCTAGCTACCGTCGCCTGGCTGCCGCTGCCTTTCGCTAGGCCAGTGGAGAAAATTTCCACGGCCACGTTAAATTATTTAAAACAAGAACGGGACAGCAATGATTCTTCTTGTGGAACTGTTAAACCAGACGAGAACAAATCGTGGCAATTCGGTGAGCTGCGTGAACGTTTTAACGTATTTTCCCCAGCTGTAAGACTCGGCCCGCCCAGGCTGCCGAGCCTGTCAGAACAAAGTGTCATGGAATCCGACCGTCGGTTAGCAGCTAGCCTAGCCTCTCGGTTATGATGGCTTCTCAACAGGATCCAGCCGCACACGATGAAAAACAGCTCTTCTCCCGCCGAATTACCAATGAAAAGGTAGTGCTATCGTGCGATTTTCAGACGCGCTAGGTAATTACACTTACAAAATTGGTGACTTTTTATCCTGCTTTTTTTGTCGTTTTTTTCACTCTCTGGACGATTCAGCCTCCGTCCTCCGTCTCGCTCAGCGTTCAGGGCAGTACCACTTCCGCTACACTGGCACTTCTGTTTCCTCCTTTCTCACCACACATCTGCCTTACGTAATGCAGGCGCCGCTTTTCTGCCGAAGATAAAACATCGTTTACGAAGACTAAGTTAACTTATTTCCGTTTCAAAACGAGTAAATTAGCCTGTATGTATGTTTTTAATGTTTTCATACTTCTTATATAATCTGTAATAGATCTTCTAGGCCTCGTACTGAGATAGAACTGATTTCTAACTTCAGAGTGTGATTGCAAAATTTCTCTAAGCATGAAAGTTTGTTCAAATCCACATAATTAAAGTCTGTATGTTATTAAATTAGACTCTTCTCTCTTCTCCTAAAGCGTCACCATAGCGAACATATCATGTGACTCTATTTAGTACTGTCTTCTGCATCCTCTATCCAAGGTGTCCAACCTGCTCTAAAGCCGCAGATGGCTTTTTGGGCACCATACAATGGCTCTTAACTTTAGCTAAAAATGATAAAGAGTCAAGTTAATGCTTTTAAATATAGATATAATAACAAATGCGGCTTTTTGCAGATTTTCAGGTTTTTCCTTGAATAATTTAATTGAAATTTCATGACATATTGGCACTAAAAGTACCAATATTTTTACTTTTGTTCCAATTTTCTTGCCATAAAGTTGAAAGCAATGTGCTCTTTCATAAATATCAAGATCCCATGGAAGAAGAAGTATCCATCCTGTTTTTGCAAAACATAAAAATAGAAATAAAATGGTGGTATGCATATCATTCATGATAAACAGCAGTTTCAAATACTTCCTACAGAGTAAGTACCTAGTTAAGCTATGAACCTAATTTGATGTTAATAAAATATGTGAATAGGCAAAT